AGAAAGTCTAAGGGTAATATGGTAAGTGAAATACCATGGAGATGTAAGAAGGCACAACTTAGAAACACATAAAAAAATATAGATGTACTTCAAAAAATTAGGTTTGGGGATGTAAAAGGAAAATCATACCATTTATATTCATGTCTATAAATCCCAGCACCCTTGCAGCAGCACTGCACATGCACTAAGATTTATAAGTATTTCAGATCCCAATAAATGAATCAATACATATAGGGATGGAGGGTTTCAGGGAAATAGACAACATGAAAGAGAGAAATACAAAAAGTAGTGGAAAAAGATATAAACAAAGTAAGATAAAACATAAAAGAGATAGCTGAGTAGACCTATGGACATGGTGTTCTGTGAACTGACATGTACAAGGGAGTATAAAATTTCTCTCTAAACTTAAGGATTGAGAAGGAATAATGCACAACCCACAAAAATACTTCTTCACTTCTTCTTTCATCTAAGTTCACACTAGTATTTCCAAGTTTTATTTTTCATTATACTGCGCTATTTGTTTGTACTAAAAACTTAGGTTTTCTCAGCTTTGTTTCTCCAATAGATGTGCATCTATCATATGGACATTTTCTTTAAACTTTATTTTATCTATATCCACACTTTCAAATACCTATGTACTCCAAAATGCTTGAATTAATTAAAAATACATAATTTTCTGAAATGTTACATGTAACATTTACTTTTCTATATTCTTTATCCAATGTTGTTTTTCATTGAATTCTGGTTTTTAAATGAAATGAAATTTAAAGGTGTTAAAGGTGCTAACTTTTTTAGAAAGTAAAAGAAAAACAGTCACTACTTTTTTCTTAAATATCAGATTTACCCTCCTCTTCTGCTCTTGTAGCAGAGTGACACAGATGAGCCTACAATCAGTGTTAGTTCCCTCTGCTTCACAAGTGAGCATCATTTCTAAGGCAGATAACTCATTATTATAGCATAAAATGATAAGAAGTAATCCCATGCTATCAAAGATCCTTTTCTTTTTTGACAAGTATGTGGCCAGCTTTAAAAGATTGGTCATGATTTGGCTGAGTGTATCAGTGTGTATCAAGGTAATTCTGGGCATCTACTGATTGTTCTCAGATTGGCATGGAAGTCTGCTCTGGCCAATGACACAAAATTAAGTGTGCTTCAGAGATTTTAGAAAAGATTTATCCCTTGTAACATGAGAAGATTAATTATATGTGTTAACCTAAGTAAGCTAAATATGTTGAAATAGCTGTTAATGTTTAAAATTAATGTAAATTAATTCTGCCTGTGTCTGTCAGGGTGTTTCAGGAAAATATCAGCATTTAATTTGGCAACATGGGTAAAAGAGACAGCTCTGCCAATGCCCATGAGCATCATCGAATTTCTTGAGAGTCTGAGTAAAACAAAAGATAAGGGGGTGCATGTATGTTCTCCTTGCTTGACGTGAAACATCATCTTCTGCTTCAATTGGCCTTTTAAGAACTTGGGTCTTAGCCATTTAGACATAAATCTGGACTCAGACGTTTTTCCTCTCCACAAAATTCTCTACAACCATTGTGAGGCCTTCAGACTTGGACTGAGTTATACCACAAACATCCCTGGTTCTCCCATTGGAGGGGCAGGTAATGGGACTTCTTAGTCACAATAAGTACATGAGCTAATTTCTATAATTAATACCTCTTTTCTGCATCTACATTTATATATATTATTGATTCTTTTCTCTTGAGAACTCTGACTAGTACACAAAGACAAGAGAGGCTTGAGGAGAACACCCTTTGTTTATCCTTATCTTTCTCTAAGTTTTGGACACTTTCAATTCAAATGTGAATTATCTAAACGTAACAGTCATCTTGTAGCTATAAAAGAGTAAACTACATAATGATATCATAATGCTTTAGAGGCTGAAATGCTTAGCATGGTGAAATACAAAAAATAGAAATACAGAGATTAAAAATTCTAAATAATTCTCTTATTTTGCTTTTTTCAGTTAT